GTCATCTAACATTATGTCTGTGGTGTTCAGGAAGTGATTGTGTGAAGATCAGAAGCTCCAGAGCAGCTGCAGTGTGTTTGGTGCTGCTCTTTGTTCTTCTGCTGACTGCAGTCATAGTGCTGTGTGTCCACATCCATACAAAGAAAACAAACTACAGAGAAGAGACACACCAGCTACTAACCAAGATTAACAACCTCACAGAAGAGAGAGACCAGCTACTAACCAAGAACATAAACTTGACAAATTAAAGGGATGGATTATTAATCAAGAATGACAACCTGACTAAACAAAGAGAGCAGTTTAATCAGGAGAGAAATTAACTGGTGAAGAGTCTTCATGAAACAGGTAATCTTGAACTTTATCAATATACTATAACAAGAAATATAGTTTGTCCATACTTCAGTGTAAGTTGGAATAAATAATTAGCTGAACTGTTGTTTACAGATGGATGGTTATATTATAAATTTAGTTTGTACTTCATTTCCTCTGAGAGTAAGAGCTGGACTGAGAGCAGAAAATTCTGTACAGAGAAAGGAGCAGACCTGATCATCATAAACAGCAGAGAGGAACAAGTGAGTGAAAGAGTGGAGTGGAGGAAAAGCAGTACTGAAAAAGAATATATTTTCTTAAAATGATGTTTATATCTATTTGGAAGGAAGAACAAAAGGGTGTTTCAACTCTGGGTAAACTGAATCCTGGGTCATCATGTTTCACGTTTCACACTGCTTATACTTTCCCGGGCTTAATGATTACATTCCTAACCCTGGGTTAATGTTCTTATTTGCAATGTCAACAGCAATGATTGGATAAATATAGCACCTGACAGGTTGAAGAAGTGACTCATATGCTTGATAGAAATGAATGTTTTTCATCATTTTGTAGTAATTTGGGTTTACAAATCATTTGTTCCCTTTTGTGGAACTTCGAAACTGCGTCCTCTAGGGGTCGCTATGGTGAACGCCTCGTCGTGACCCGTGTCTGAAGCCTACATTGAAAAAACACCAACTTGTTTGGCCGGCGACTGCCATGACGTCACTACCGTCGCAACTAGTACAAAATAGGTGCCGGTAGCGCACATCATCACTTTCTTCGTCTTCACTGACCGTTCTGTTTGAAGCGTGCATTCCAAAAGCAAAGTAAGAGCTTTTTCTTTTCCTACTATGGCGAGCACTAGCGGAGCATTTAGAAAGTGTGTACATCCGTGTCAGCGGTTTCTGACACCCGATGATTCACACGATCTATGCGTTGTTTGTTTGGGCGAGGAGCACGCACGCAATGTCCTCGAGGGGGCAATCTGCGTACACTGTGAGAGCTTTTCGCGGAAAAAGCTCCGTTCTCGTTTGTCTCTCTTCTCGAGGGGAGAGGGACAACCATCGGTTTCCCGCGGCTCGGGACCTGCCGCTGCTGAGGCACGGAGGAGAATGAGCTCGTGGGGATCTCAGGTGGACCTAGCCGATGAGGCTGAAGGGGGGGGGGTTTCCCTCTTCCGCGCATCGGCGTCGGGCGAGAGACAGCCGCTGGACGATGATATCCTCTCTTTGATATCATCTGATCCAGGGGCCAGTGCTCAGTTGGGCCCAGCCCAACAAGAGCAGGAAATGGATGCGGAGAGTGAAGAAGCTGAGGCTGAGCTTTCCCAATCCACCTGCCCTGCGTATGATGAGCTGTTAGAGGTAATGGATCGGGCCATGGCAACGCTCGAATTACCGTGGAAACGAGCCAGGGAGGTGACGTCGCGAGGTCGCCTCGACGAACGTTATCTCTCCGGCCATACACCTCCAGCTCAAGTGAGCCTTCCTTTCCTTCCCGATCTCCACACTGAGATCGAGAAGGAATGGAAGAGGCCATTTTCCTCACGCATATATCAGTCTCAGCATACGAGTTATGCGAACATCGAGTCGATGCGCGAAAGCGGCTATGGGATGATGCCCCCTGTGGAAGAGACGCTAGCCAGCTATCTCTCTCTGGGGGAGACGTCACCCCTCAAACCTCCCTCCTTGCCATCCGTGCCCCTTCAAGCCACATCTCGCACGAACGGCAAGGCGTACGCAGCGGCAGGTCAGGCTGTGGCCTCGTTGCACACTATGGCGGTGCTTCAGGCCTATCAGGCTGACCTGCTGAAGGACCTGGATGAGGGGCAGGGCCTTTCCTCTGCCGGAACGACTGAGCTGCGGCGCACCACAGACTTGGCCCTCCGGGCTACTAAGCAGGCAGCCTCGGCCATGGGCAGAGCGATGGCTGCTATGGTGGTGCCTCAGGGAACCATGGTTACATAAGTAACCCGAGACGTTTTATTTAAACTACTTCTAAGTTGTTTCCAACTTAAATGTGTGACAAACATATGACATAACATAACATTCATAACAATGAATGCTTGATTTGGAGGTACAATGCTGGGTTCAGCCAGTTGGGTCATTAATATTATTATTATTATTTATATATATATTTTTTTTATATTTTTACCCAAGTGCTGGGTAGTTTTTCTGTAACTCAGCTGCTGAGTAATTTTTTACTCTCAATGCAAATGATGAACCCCCTCACAAACCTACACAGCGCTGGGTCAGTGTAACCCAATGTTGGGTAAACTGTGCCAAACCAGTTAAAGCTGGATACATTTTTAGTGGCCATTTTGTGTTCTGTCCTGAGAGAAAACTTGACTGATGGGAAACTTCCAGAATGAAATTAAGGTTTGCATTACTTTATTCCTGTCAAATTATTACTGTATAAATAGGAAAGCGATTGTAGTCTCACATTTCATCTTTTTGTATACATGTACACCACAGCTAACGCCTGCTTGGAATGCTAGCCTACACTGGATCTACACTCAAAGAGAACGGCGCGCCGGCACCACTGTGGAAGTTTCACTTCCCGCCAAACGAATGCGTGACCAAGGTTAAAACACGACACTACATTGCTGTTATATGTAACAAAGTTTCTGTGTGCTCCACTGACTACAACTGCGCAGCTGTGGTCGTGCTATGTGTTTGACGGGTTGAAAATGAAATGTCTTAAATGTCAGACAGATGAGATGCCAAGAGGAGAATGAACTGTTCCTCTCTAGTATATATAACAAAGATTTTAAGAGTGCATTTTTCATACTAAAAAATAAATAAATAAATAAAAACCTTCGATATCAGGTTGACTGACCCAGCACTACGTCAAACACAACTCAACTAATGGGTTAATGCAGTGGTTCCCAACCCTGGTCCTGGAGGCACCCCAATACTGCATATTTTGCATGTATCCTTAATCAAACACACCTGATTCAGGTCATTGGCTCATTAGTAGAGACTCCAAGATCTGAAATTGGTGTGTCAGAGAAAGGAGATATGCAAAATGTGCAGTGTTGGGAACCACTGGGTTAATGTATAAAACCCAACAAGCTGGGTCAAAATAACCTTGCATGTGTTCTTTCCAATATTTACTCAGCGCTGGGTTGCTAAATAAACCAGAAATGGTTGTTTTTAACCAAGCATTTTTTAGTGCACGAGTTTGTGCACTTAAAAGGCAGCATCTGTCCATTCTGTATGGAGGCTGAAAGCGGAAACATTTCTAGCAATGAAAAACAAAGCCAATAAATACATGATTATGACAATACATTGTTTGCATGTGGTTTTCATGCAATTTGTGGTATTTCTCTGAGCATAAAGAATGGTTATTCAAGAAATGCTAAGCAGGTGTTGATATATTTCTGGTCACACATGTTTTCTGATGATACAGGTTCTGATTGGGTGTCCATTGCTAAGCATCTAGCCGCAGACACGTGACTTGAGCACTGCAATGTAGAGTTAACAATACAAAAGCAGTGCTAACCCTGCTCCACTTTAAATGTAAGTTTGAAATGTTCCTTTATCAAGGATAAAAGTGGGGTTTATAATGATGATAACCAAGAGTTAAGCACAGTGTGAAAAGCTCTAATGCGTGTCTTCCTAATTTATTCTAGAATTTTGTCAAAAGTATTGCTGAGAGCACATTTGTCTGGATTGGTCTGACTGACAGTGATGTGGAGGGCAAATGGAAACGGGTTGATGGCAGCAACATGAAAAAAACACTGAACAGAACTGATTGTTATGTAATAAATGATTCTCATAGTCAGTATCATATCACATAGAAAGCAGCACTGAACATCTAATGCTGATCTGTTGTTTCAGGTCCTGGGTGTCTGGAGAGCCAAATGGACAAAGAAAAGAGAACTGTGCTGTGTCATATTCATCAGGGTGGTATGATTATCAATGTAATACTGCTTGACATTGTAGGGATTTCATATACAGGACACGGAGATGCCACTGGATCACCATCATGAGGCTTTGAATTAATCTAATCAATCCGTGGCCAGGAAAACACATAAAATTTGTTAAAAGATACTAAGAATCACCGGCTCGCTGGACGACCCCTGATTTGAAGTGCAGACTAACAAATTTACCTATGGTTTGATCAGGTGGACTTGGCACATTCAGATCCGAAGTCCTAGCAAAACCTGAATTTGGTAATAATCATTAATTCCCTATAATTACAAATTAATAATGTATAAATAAATGATACAGTCATTACAACATGATTAAACATACAGATAAAAAAATGGAAGTGAAACTTTGTAGCAATTACAAATGGTCAATTAGATGAGTTATAGTGCTGCAGTCATAGTGCCGTGTCGTGTGTTCAAGTTTTTAATGCCGGGACTATTGGTTTATCTGGCCAATTGCAGACTGTGTATGAGGAAACTTGTCTAATTTAGAACTTCTGTTCGATAATGTTAATGGTGAAGAAATAATACACTTCTTTTATTTAAGGGTTACATCCTTTTAGACTTCACACATTGAGAACATGTGTGTGCTGCTGTTTCATTCTAACTGCTGTTCAGCAAAGCAGAACTACAAAACTGTAAACAGACGTATAGAAGAACAACATTCAGTATGAGCACAGAGTTACAATGATCGACTACACAAGATTAGAGATCTGAGGTTATTTATGAGAGTGTGAGCAGGGCTGAGATTCAGGACATGGACAGAGAGAGACTGGGGATGATGCAGGGTATCTGTGATAGTATGAGAGGTCATGACCTCAGGACAGAGACAAATACATATCAGCTAGTTCAACATAGAGGTAATCACATTCATTTCTGTTATATAATGAACAAATAGTCACAGTTTGCATGTTCAGTCAATTAACATCATATCTGTCATCTTCAGGAAGTGAATCTGTGAAGAGCAGAAGCTCCAGAGCAGATGCAGCGTGTTTGGTGCTGCTGTGTGTTCTCCTGCTGACTGCAGTTATAGTGCGTTCTGCTGTGTGTCCACATCCATACAAAGAACACAAAATACACAGAAGAGACACCAGCTACTAAGCAGGAATAACGGCTTAACAGAAGAGACACACCAGCTTCAGAAGAGACATTACTAACCTTACAAAAGAGAGAGACCAGCTATACTATCTGATAATACCATCTTCTCAGAGAACAAAGAGCAGATACTAACTAAGATCACAGCCCAACAAAGAGAAAAAGACAATTTAATAAACCAGAAACAAAATCTGATGAATGACAGAGATGGATTATTATCCAAGAAAGACAATCTAATGAAAAATTTAAAATTGAAATGTGAAAATTTATTTGTGGTATTTTTTTTAACTATTAGACACAATCTGTTAAAATTTTTGTTTTATAGTTCAGTGCAGATGGTAAAAGTGCTAATACTTGGTGGTGTTTACAGATGGATGGATTTACTATCAATCCAGTTTTTACTTTATTTCCTCTGAGATGAAGAGCTGGGCTGAGAGCAGAAGATACTGTACAGAGAGAGGAGCAGATCTGATCATCATAAACAACAGAGAGGAATGAGTGAGTGAGAGATATTGTGTGTATGAGAAGCAATCACATGACATTTGTCAATTTTATGATACATTTTACATTGTTTCATCAGGATTTTGCTAAGAAAATATCTGCTAATGCTAAAGTCTGGATTGGTCTGACTGACAGTGATATGGAGGGCAGATGAAAATGGGTTGATGGCAGCACACTGACACCTTGGTGAAAAATCACTGAATTGAACTGATTAATATCTAATAAATGATTATCACACTCAGTATCAAATCACACAGAAAGCAGCACTGAACATCTAATGCTGATCTGTTGATGCAGGTTCTGGGATCCTCGAGAACTCAATGGATATAGAGGAGAGAACTGTGCAGTAAATGATTCATGTTACATGATTAAACATCAGTCTAAATTCCAATAGTGTCTAAGAATGGTGAAATCCCTGTCTTGTCTTAGAACGCATGTCTTATGATGAAGTGGCTCTGAGGGACAGAGGGGAAAATGGTACAAGAGCTGTGACTTCGGTGATACCCTTTCAAAAGGTACTAATATATAAAATTAAGATACTAACATGCACCCTTTAGGGGTAAATATGACACACTGATGTATCTTTTGAAATGGTACTGGCCCAGTGACAACTCTTGTGTCATTTTTCCAGTTTTGTGAACCAAAGCTAAGAAGAATGATTGTCTCATGAATTAAAAGTCTCAGCTTTGTCGTTTCTGGTAGCCTCATGGGCAGCGTTCCGACATAACAGCGCCGTTGCGCTTTGGGCGTCCCAAGTTCAGGTCCTGGCTTGCAGGTCTTTGCCGATCCCATCCCCTCACTCTCCCACTTCACTTGCTGTCTATATATGCTGTCCTATCATAATAAACGCACAAAAAAAAATCTGTAAAAATTATGGTAAGTTTTACAGTGTATTTTCATTCAAAGACCTGATTTTATATACAGCGGCTCTTAATAAACTTAATTGTGCCAGCATCATTACATCAATAAACTTATTTATTTATTTATAAATTTTTTCCTTGTAGCCTTCTTGTGTTTTAAGTGATTTTGAACCGTACTGACATCAGATCAGTTCTGTTCTGCTTTTCTGACTAACATCTTACAAGAGAGGATCAAATATTGTAGGTGAACAAATAACTCAAACAACTCAAAAGTCAAATTCTTATAATGATGTGACGTGTAGCCAAGTATGGTGTTCCATTCTCGGTAGTGGGCAGCCATGTGCTGCAGCGCCCGGGGAGCAGTTAGGGGTTCGGTGCCTTGCTCAAGGGTCTTACCTCAGTCATGGTATTGAGGGTGGAAGAGAGCGCTGGTCATTCACTCCCCCCACCTACAATGGTACCGAGACTCAAACCCTTGACCTTTAGGTTACAAGTTACAAGACTCTCTAACCGTTAGGCCATGACTGCCCCCTTGTGATAGTTGTGAACAAAGTAAAGTAAATAGTGGCAGTAACTAAAGTGACTGTAAAGTAAATATTAAAGATGACAAAATTTCATCACAATTAATACAACATTTAATAATTGAGACCAAAACATTGAAACAAATCTTAATTAACCAGCTGCACCAGGCAACACAACTAGTAGCTTTGGTGGAAGACAGAGACTGCACGTAAAACCTTGACATGACAAACAGATCAATACAGCAAGAGACTAGTTAAAATTTCAGAATTTTCTATCAGTTCTTTATTTGCCCTGAGTCGAAGAGCTGAATTGATATCAAAAGTCCAAAATATATAATATGTGCCGTATACTAGTATGTGCCTTTAAGGTTCTATAGTAACATGCACCCTTTAGGGGTAAATAAATAGGGATGACAGATCAGACACATTTTCTGTAGGTACAATAAGATTATCCTAACTAAACAAACAAACAAACAATCAGACAAACAAACAAATACATAAATGGCTATTCTACTGGAAAATTTAACCAATTAACATTATTAGAAGAAAAAAATAGCAGTTTATTCATGCTGCTACAATAATAATAATAATAATAATAATAATAATACAATTAAATTTGCCTTTTGTTTAAGACGTTTTGTTCTATAATTTACAATGCAGTGTATAATCTTTCATTAATGATTCTCTATTTAATTTTTTTATTTTTTTCGTTTAGTGATGCAGGAAAGAGGAAAAGTGATGTGAAATGGTAATACATTGAAATTTTATTTACATCAAATGTTTAGCTACACATTTTGATTTTCTAGTAGCCTACAAGGAAGCTGTTTACATGGGGGAAATGGAGATCTGTATCATTTCTCAGTAAAGCTTATGTAAGTGCTTTTATATATATAGTCAGGAGATGACTGCTCAGTGCGGTCACAGTGGTGTGGTTAATGTTCAGCCTCTTAAAGCTTTAGTACACAGCGGTACGGTCCACACACCAGCAACTTTGACTCTAGATGACTGACGGCAGTAGAAGCATTGAGATACGAGTGATGGAAAGAAAAGGTACAGAGGAGATGATTACTGATGCCAACAGAGTTGCTAGAAACCGTCATAATGTCGGGACAAAAACAGAGAACTCAGACACTAAGAGACACCAAACACCTCGACACACAGGTATACTGAGACTCATCTCATTATAGTTACATTAACTAACATGCGCATTTGAGTCATATACGTGTTTAAGAAATATTTATCGTCATGTTTGTGATCTACAGGACGTGATTGCGTGAAGGTCAGAAACTACAGAGCAGCTGCAGTGTGTTTGGTGCTGCTGTGTGTTCTTCTGCTGACTGCAGTCATAGTGCTGGGTGTCAATCTCCATAATATAATTGAGGAGTTTTACATCAAGAACAAAAACCTCACCGACGAGATAAAAAAGTTAAAAAGTAAAAAAAACAGAAAATATAACTTGGACTATAATATTACAGAATTATCAGATGAGAACAAAAAACTAAAGGAGATGATGACAGAATTGTGGCAGCAGATGGGTAATAAAGAACTATACCAAAATTACACAAATATTTCATATTAAAAGGACACAGTCTATATGTTTTGGGTATTACCTGTTATAAATAGGTTGTGTCAATCAGTGTGGATGGGAATACAGAGCTAATGATTTGACTGCTTGTGTTTACAGATGGATGGGTGTGCTATCAATCCAGTCTCTACTATGTTTCCTCAGAGAAGAAGAACTGGACTGAGAGCAAAAGAGACTGTACAGAGAGAGGAGCAGATTTGATAATCCTAAACAACAAACAAGAACAAGTGAGTGAAAGAAAGAGTGTGTTTGTGACAGTGGGCAAGTACTAAACTATAATGTATTCCTTTGTGGTCATTCTGAGACATATTCACACAGAAAATTGGTTGCTGTGTAAAACAAATACTAAAACAATTAGGGGGTTTCAGGTTATTATATTCACAGGTGTTTTTGTTTATTCAAACATATTTCTATTGTTTTATTAGGACTTTTTGAAAACATTTCCTGGTCGTTCTGAAGTCTGGATTGGTGTGACTGACAGTGTTGAAGAGGGCAGATGGAAATGGGTTGATGGCAGCACACTGAGCCCTGGGTGAGAAATCACTGAATTAAAATATTTAATTCAACTAAAAATATTTTAGATTATTAATCTACTTCTAGAACCAAATTGATCAAATGAAACTCCTTCAAAAGCTTTTAAGTGACATCCACCAATTTCAGCACAGACCTACAGTCTGTTCTGACCTAGTCTACCATCTGCCTATTTAACTATCCATCCATTCAGCTACCCTATGCATTGGCCCTTTTTGTCTATCAAACCAAGACCATAATCTCAACCAACAACAAACATCATAGAAATGTCTGAGCAACCACATAGCATGCCTTGGTACCCAGAACACCTTAGCAACCACCTAGAAATGTCCTTCAACCACTTTGAGCAACTGCTTACGGTCATTCTGTATATTGTGTGTCTCTACGGCCATTAAAATGGTCAAACTTTTAAAATGCTTTTAAAACAATTTGTCAAACCTGTCTTTATCTTACAGTCAGACATGCTAAAGCTGGTCTGTTCTTGCAGGTTCTGGACATCTGGAGAACCTAGTGATAGCTCTGGTAATGAGGATTGTGTTGTAAATCTGTCATCAGGGGTTGCTGATTATTCATGTGATAAAACTTTTAAATGGATCTGTAAGAAGAACATTTTGAAGCAGTAATTACATTGAAGGGTTAATAAAGGGTTGTTACAACATTTTTGGTCTCATTTCACTATTTCATCTTAAACACGGTTCTAAAAGTTCTCATGTAATAAATCATCTTTATCATTAAAACTCAACTCATTTATGATTCTGTTATATTTTGTTACTGATACAAAATTGAGCAAACTCACACTTAAAGCTGAAAAAGTTTCAATATTAAGACTAACTCAAGGTGTGGCTATTTTTACCCCTTCAATTCTGCCTGGTAACACTTGTGATGCAGAAAATTAAAGGGGTCATATGATGTTGCTAAAAAGAACATTATTTTGTGTATTTGGTGTAATGAAATGTGTTTATGCAGTTTAAGGTTCAAAAAACATTATTTTCCACATACTGTACATTATTGTTTCTCCTCTATGCCCCGCCTTTCTGAAGCGCATCGATTTTTACAAAGCTCATCGGTCTGAAAAGCAAGGTGTGCTGTGATTGGCCAGCTATCCAGTGCGTTATGATTGGCCGAATACCTCAAGCGTGTGACGGAAATATTACGCCCCTCACCATACTGCCCTGTTCGGCCGGAGCGATGATTCAAAAACATGAAAACCCATTATAAATGAGGCATTCGTTGCATCCAGTGGGGACATAATTATGGATTATAATGACTTATACTGTCTTTTTATGCATTGCGTTGCATCGCGCCGCATAAACATAAAACCATGTCTGCATTTGTGATCAGAGAAATTACAAACAACAAGTCCTACTCTACACTGCCCAAAAAACTCGCTTTAAATATAAAAAGATATAAAATATAAAAACTCTTTAAATATAAAAAAC